GTAGCCGAATAACAAACGAGTGGCCCAGTACCCCTTGCACGGTGCCCTGTTTCTTTTACATCTGTTTCTCCTGCTTTTGTGTCATGCCTCTGTTTAGCTTTATTGACAAAACAATCTGTGGCTAATGTTTAAACAACATCTGTAAAATGTATTATTAAATTACGTTGGGAGAAAAAACAGAGCAATTCTATGAAACCCTATGACCCCCTATTGATTTTTAGATCACAGAAGTTGAAAGGATAATTTGTGAATGTTTTAACATTTACATCTGTGCAGGTACCTATATTTATAGGATCTTTGATTACTTATAAAAGTATTTGCTCCATGATTACCATAACTCAGAAAGAAACCTGACCTTTACCAGTTGAATCTGTTTATAATAATAAGGGAGATCCTATTTTTAAAAAAGTAAGTTTACATTTTTACCTGCCAGTGGCATAAATCTCTAGGGATAACATACATTTCCCCCCAACTAGGAATGAATGGGAAGTGATGCCTGAATGCTTTGCAGTTCTGCAGGCAATAAATGAAGCAACTAGGAAACTCTGGTGCGTGTACTCAACCTGAGACCGGTAGCGCTGAGATACTTCTGTAAAGTGTCACCTCGGATGACAGGATGCTCCTTGGGATTGTATGCACCTGACCGCTGGACAGTGGTTTTTCTCTCCACATACATACTGTATTTCACATACATTATATGACTTGCACCCTAAAATCTGTATTGCCTTCTTAGAGGGTATAGGAATATTCATTCTACTTAAGCCTTAACGGGAAAATGTTGGGATGAGAAGTAGTAAACAAAGAAATGTAAAATGTATTCAGCGCACCCTCGGCTAGAACTCTGCTGAGGCATCCGGCAAATAAGCTACAATCACAGGCACACGTTTTCATCACGTGCAATTCCCAGGTCTACAACACTGCTGTGAAAACATATAAGGCAGTTTTCATTTGACCATTCTACACTCACATTCTCAACATAAAGAAATAAAGTTGGTCTGAAGAAAAAAGAACCAAGTATTAACTGTGTATGTGTGTGGAGTGTGTGTGTGTGTGTGTGTGGCTCTCTCCTGTTGCTTCTTCTACCCTAAGTCCTTCCTTTGTTTCACTGTCCCCACCTGTAATAAACATACTCTCAAAATCACCTGGGCTTGTACTATGCAATCTTTCCTTCCTGCACAAAGTGAAGAACCCACACACTACAGGCCGGCCTGAGGCAGACCCACAGCTGGCCAGGTCCTTATCTGGTGATATGTATGTGTTTTCTTTAAAGTTCTACCTAAATATTTAAAGACTCAAACAACCATCTAATCTCAAATTTTAAGAAGTTTCTGTTTAAATGATTACAACATTCAACATATGAGTAATATGTTTTCACTGCTGATACAACACAACAACAATGAAAAAACAAAGGGACAAAACCCCAGATGCTATTATTTATCATTTTTGGATCAAACCATAATGGGGAGTGAGGCAGCAAAGAAAGAAGAATACACAAATTTATAGCATATACTATATTTCTAAAATTAGTATGCTTCAAGTGTAAGTGTATCACAGCATGCTAGATGGAAATATTTAGGCAATTAGTTATGGAACTTGATATTTAAGAACCATGCAGTTACCTCAAATACTTAGATAATTTAGGTAAAAAAATATTTTAACCCAAACTATTTGCGTTATTGTCTGAATTCTCAAAAAAATTATTGGCACAGACTTGTCCCATGATGTCTCACCTAATAAATTTAATACATTTCACATTCCATCCTAGGTCCCAATTCCTATAAGTACTAATACCAGTCATTTTCAGGTTCCTCCTCTCTGTTTTCATTCTGGCAGGTAAAACAAAATAAAAATTATAACAGCTAGTCCTTTTAATTCAAACTTTCTCTTAATCAAATCTGTCTCGTTTTACATTTAGATTATTGTTGAAATTATCCCTGTTCTCTTCTTCCCCCAAACACCATATGCTTTGACCCTAGTTAGCCAAGGCCGATAGTATATATCACCTATGTCAGTTAAATAAACATAGAATCAGGTCAGCAATGAGATGAAAGAACCATTACAATGCACCCAACTTTTTTTCATCTCATTTTTCAGTTAAAACCTAACTTATGGCTGCATTGGCCAGGGTTTCTATGACAAGCTAACAACCAGACATGCGTTTATATTTTTCACGTTCAGACTGTGTGTTTTCATACATCATGTTGCTGCCAATAATTATGACTGATCTGCACCCAACCTGCCCTTCAGCATTTTATTAAATCTCTTCAATGGTGACTCATAGTTTGTACAAAATGTACATGTGTGTTAACAAGTTTTAAGAAATCCAGGAAGGAAGACAGATTTTTAAATGTTGTGGCTAAATGAAGTGAAAGGGAATGAAGATTCTTTTCAAAAATTGTTATTTCCCGGAGGAAATAACTTGAGCTTGATGCTCAATACAGGAAAAATGTTTACAAGCTCTCAGAAAAGCTTTGTGCGATTTGTATTATGATAGAGTAAAATGAAAACCATTTTACTTCAGTGGTTATGCTCCTGTTTAGTCTTCAGGTAATCCTAGTGTGAGGACCAGCTGGGTTATCCCAGGGTTTTTTGCATCATATTTCCTACCCAAACCCTAAAGAAAAAGAAATCTATTATCAGCTCCTCAACAGAAAGTGTGGGTGGAATTAATAAACCGTTAAAAACTCAAATCAAACATGGGAATGTCATTATTCACCCAACATAAGAGAAGCAATATCTCTTATAACGTTGAGTTAGCTGAGGGGAATTCTCTACCACAAACCAAGTTGTTAGAAGAGTTGGAACAGTTGCCAAATCCGAAGCAATGAAGTGCAAGCAAAAGTCACTGCTAACTCCATGTAGAAGTAGAGAGACCACGTGCACAGACACGGGGCCACTTGGGGTCAGAACTATGCTCATGTCCCGAGTAACTAAGTCAAAGTGATTGTTAAGTCATGTACCTGTGCAGAATTGAGTAGCAGGGTGGAGTTTAGGGTAAAGTCTACATATACTTTGAAAAATTATCATATGTTATGTAGCGTCACGTTTTTAAGATCCTTTCCCCCCTTTCTAATTGCAAAACTGAAGCAGTCAGATTGTGATCACTGTGCCTAGAACCTAAGGAAATAACAATTGCATGCAGCTTGGTGTCGCGGGAATGCCTGCCTGCCCCGGCATCTACAGGAATAGCCATAAGTCTGTCCACCTGTAGAAAGCAACTTGTCTTGGAATTTAGTCTCTGGTAACAATGTGTGTTTATGGATGAAGTTTGCTAGCAACACTGAGAAGGAAGAGAGATGGCATGTGTGATAGATCCCTGAATGGCAGAGCTTTGCTTTCTCTAATTAGAGCTCGCCCTGCCACTCCTTGGCCTTCGAATGGGAACGTTTCCCAGGGAAATAAGATATTTATGCAGCCTCCATTGTATTAAAATTGCCTCCTCATCAGCTTAACCTGGAAACTATATATGAATTTAGGTGTGCATGCAAAATTGATGGTCTACCTTATACTAACTTCCAAAACAAGTTGAAAGACTACATTCAAATACATACTATCAACAGTCTTGAAAATTTATACACAAGAGCAGGTAAAAATAAACGCAACCAAAAAACCTCAGCAGCAACACAACTCCTAGTAACACATCTCGGTACAGCGTGTCTTCTGTTGGTTCCCTAACCACTTGGCTAAAAGGGCTGCAAAAAATTGATCTCCCAAGGCTGCAGTGAGGTCAGAGAAATTGATAACCCTGACAAGCACAGCTTATGTGAGTCTGTCTGTGTCTTGAAGATAGTGCACTTTGTAAATTAATCCTCCAAAGGCAAATATATTGTAAGGAGCTTGTTATCTCTAAAATACTAAATTGGAGAATACATGGAATTATATTGACAGAAATCACATTCTCTGTAATGGAGTTTAATATATCTGAAATCTCTCCCAAAGGCTCCCAGGCTCTCTAACAGAGAGAAGGGTCTGTTAATAGAGGTGCAATGGACATCAAGAACGAATTTATTCACCAAAATGGATTAGGCCATGTAATCAGAGATTCAGTAATATTAATCTTTGACACTTATTGAACAGAAAGAAACACTTCTGTCTGCAAACTGGCACTCCCAGTTCTCTGCTTTCCCCAACCAGGCTTTGGGCCTTTTCTGGATTTTACTTCAAAGAGGATAAGGTTTCCCCCATCATAAACACTAATCTAAAAATATTAGGACAATTAATTAGATACACTTCGTTTCAGAGGATATTGGGTTTCAATACCCTTCAAATATGACACTAGCTCTGGGTGACGATGGGAGCCTGGCTTTCAGCACACTCACAAAGGGTAATAAATCCTACTCTCTCAAAGCCTCCCCGCATACGCCACACACTAAGCCAGAATATTGTTGGCTGATTCTTGGTACATAATCTCGGCTTCTCCCCACATCGGGAATTTACACATTTATTTAGAAACAGTTCTGAGGCGCATCAGGTTTTGAACAGCTTCAAAGTAGAAACAAGTAATTTCTCCTTTTCCAAAGACAGGAGATAAGAGGGGAAAAAAGGGGGGGGTGTCCCTTGAATGCACAGCCCTAACAAAATCTAACTAAATTTAGTTATTCAATGAATTGAAAACCTGATCGATATGTGATGGTGGATTTTCTTGTTTCATAGAAAATAGGATGGTATTACTCTTTCAATCGATTTTCCTGAAAAGGGGGGCGAAGGGAGCCATAGAGAGGGATACGCTCACAGAGCCATCGTGAAGGTGAATTAAACACTGACTTAGACGATGCCTAGCAAGTGACGGTTAATAAAGGAGGGGGAAGTGATGCATTGCTTTCTTTTCCATATTAGCAGAGACTCTCACCCATCACTCCACAGCTTGTTTTCACTTTTGGATCGGACAAGCCACCAGGGAAAAAAGCTGACCTGGGTGTGTCTTCTTAATGCAAAACCTGAGCCGCAGGTCGCCGGAGGGGGAAGCAGATTGTGTGCAAACACAAAACCAAAGGACTTACCAATTGTTCACTTGAAGGATGGTGAGTCCCGTGTCTTGTGCCAACTGCTTTTTCTGTTCTTCAGAAGGGTAAGGGTGCTGGAAGAGAACAAAACAGACAGGTGTGTGCGCGTGTACTGTGGGCAGAGAAGGTCGTGCACATCCCATGTCGGGTGCCACGGCAGGGGCCAGGAATTCAATAGTACACAGATATGCTCTTTAAACAGGAGACGTGTACGTCAAGGAATATTTAGGCTATTTGTCAATAACCTAAGTGTCTAGCGAAGTCTAATTAAAGGTAAAAATGCTGAGGTGTGTCACTCTTATTAATGGAATACTACATCATCTAATTAATGGCAGTAAAAGACAGCCAATTACAAAGATTAGTGAAGTGTATAAATAGCTCCTTAGGATACTTGCAGAACCTTGATACTGAGTTTATCCTTTAACAGGTTTATTTGCTGCAAACAGGGAAAGTTCAGTATGGTCTTCACTGTATTTTATAGGATAAAAATCAAGACAAGCCCTTTGGACCATACACAATTGTACACGCCTTGATGGAATATTTTTATTAGAACCATGGACTCCCAAAGCAGAACCTTTTGGACCAACCATCTCAGCTAAGGCCTCCAGCAACTAAGCACTTTGATAGCATGACAGTCTCCCTCCAAATACCATATTGCTGGATGCAAATATCAGAATTAAAGTGGGTGCATTTTTAATCCACTGTTCCTCTGAGCTATTCTGAGAAGCACAAACAAACTCACTTCAACCAAAGTTTGTTTCCCTATCTGAATGTCAACACATGCTGGGATTCTGAACATAGGCCAATATAAGGTCAAAGACCAGCATAGTTTGCATGCTATGAACAAGCCCAGCTATGCTCCTCATAAAACAGGATAAAAAAGCATTACGGGATTAGATAATAAAGCGAAATCCGTACCTTCTTGTAAGAATGTTTGGAATTCTACTGAAATGAGTTTGGGCACAAATACATTTTGCTCAATAATCAACTATATCTGAATCGGAAATATACATTCCTACAGCCTGGGGCAGGAGCTGAGGACACGGTGTGCATCTATGGAGACATTGCCTAGTTTGAAACACTGCATTCTAGTAAACTCTCCCGAGATAAAAACTGTTCTGATAGTCAACAGCCTATTCTCTTACGGGTGGGAAAGGGCACCCCTAACTCTCAATTTAACTGTCTGTGCCACAGGAAACTGAATTCTGGTCTATTGAATGTTAATTAACATAGCTTTTAATCTCATTAATAATGTCTGATTAGATGCTAAGAAGGCTCGTTAATGACCACTTTAATGCTCTTATATGCACCTTTGAATATGTTCTCTATCTATACACCTGGGATTCGTTGGCGGAGGGCAGAGATGTAGCAATTTTTCCCATAAGCATTGTCTTTGATTGTCACTTAATCAATAAATACACAATTAGAATAAGGCTTTGCTTTCATGGAATATAGTTCCTTTCTGTAAAGAGCTCCAAGTATATTAGAGACAAGATGGTAATTAATCCCCATTATATTCCTTTGGGGGACATAAATGGAATCGATTGTCCCTCCTGTTTTACAGGTGAGGATACTGACCAGGGGAAGAGATGGTCAGCAGCCACACCACTCAGCGATATTTCCTGTTTCCCTTCCAGGGTCTAAGCTTCACCATGAAAGAGGGATGTGATCTCTACTCCTGGCCCCTGCCCCCAAGCCTTCAGATTGCTTACCAGGGCTTGCTAGGCCCGCCACTCCCCAGCCCTGCCCACCTCTCGGCCTTGGTGGCCTTCTCCTCAGCCCCACCTCAACCCTCCTTTCTATCCTTTCAACACTCAAGCTTGTCCCTACCACTCAGGTCCCTGCTCCAATGTCACCTTCGTGTCTCAACTCAAATGCCAAGCCTTACCCACTCCACTCTCCACCTGCCCACCTGATCACTCTCACGCCAGTCTTTTCCTTCTTCCTTAACAGCAAGCAATGCTCTCTCAAACACTTGTTCTGACTACCCATTTCCTTGGTGTGTCTCTACCCACTCATTTAGCAACTCCAAAGCCCATGCCTTTGTTGTTCACCATTCTCAAATCCCAGACTAGCAGAACAGAAAATCAGTAAATAGTTGTGAAATAAAGGGATAGTCACTCAGATGCAACCTCAAAAGGTACAATAAAAATTTTTCAAAGCCCACAAGAGGAATAAACAATGTAATTTGAGATCCATAACACCACTTTCCTTACTTCACTCCTAAAAGTGAGTCAACCCACTCTTTTCAAATAAAAGTATATAAGCCTCATAATAGGCTAAGATCATGTGACAATCTTCCTACTCAACACAGTGCCAATCACCCAGGCAAAAAGCTCACGATTGGATACTGGCCTAAGAGCAATCCTCTGGGCTAAGAGCAATCCTCTACGCCAAGGTTTAAAACATACCTCCCACAGCATAAAGGCTTGCCACACAATGCAAGCAAATGAATCTCTCATCCGATGAATAGAATTAAAGTGGGTATATAGTAGTTCCATGTCAACACTAGTTGAAGAATTGTACTTAGGCGCACATGACCCGATCAGATTGTATGTTATGCTGCCACTCACTGAGACTTTGAACAAGGAACAACTTTTCTAATTCTCAATTTTGTCAGCTAAGAGCCATCAAAGTTAAAGGTTACCCAGGCTAGCAATTCTTACAGAATATAAGCCTGATTTTGAAATACGGAAATCTAAGCATCCAGCTATTGGCACTAAGCAGGTCCCTGGATGAAGTCGTTTCTCTCAATGTCATCTTGTTACAACGTTGATGAGATGCTGTGGGAACTTGACTCTTGTTTACATCATCAGCCGATAGTAAAATTGGTTTCGGTATGCTTTATTTTGATGAACGGTTAAGAACCTACTGATGACGTTAAGTGAAAATGTACTGTATTTGCCATATAAAGTGGTAGGCCGATATACACGAGTGGTTTCCAATCTGGAACATTTTCTGTAATTTTTGTATAGTTTTATGGCTCCTATGAAAATCTCTTTCAGTGATTTTCAGTAGAATTAACAAACACGTCAATAGTCTCTCTTTACTATAGCTGGATGGCAGTACCGTTGTTCTGTATTGTTAGTTGTATCTTAATAGTATGACCAGAACTGGATAAAAATTAATATTTATGCCACTTACCTTTAGTTACTTTGAAAATTGAGAATTGTCACAGTCATTTATTTGTGCTGTGTTTTCAAGAATATTTCTGCATGCCTGTTTCTGAGCAAGTTTTAGATCTAGTCTTACAAAGCAAATGGAATTCACATTTTATTTATGCAAGTGGTGTCAGAAAAATTCTCTTTGGATCATTAAAATTACCTGAATCATTACAGCTTCAAAGAGCAATCAGATGGCCCTCAAAGTTTCAGTGCAGATTTAGATTGTTTTTCACATCCTGCAGTTTCTGATTTCATAATTTAAATATCATAAAATGAGAAAGTTCTACCCTTTTTTCCCCTCTGTCACTTTTCATGTGATCTGATTTTAAGTAATTGGAACAAACTGTGTCTAATTTCATGCAGCATAATTGCTAGGCAGCCTCAAGCTATGGAGACCCAGCACTCTGTCTCCATTAAACCATTTTCAGTTGTTCAGGATATATATTTTTTAATAAAAATGAATAAGCCTGGACAAGATTAAATGTCACAGTAATCTGGTCATTGTTAACGGGGAAAAAGGGTATCGACAAAATTCCTACACCCTTGTCTGGGGCAGGTCAACTGCATACTGTTTTTTCTTCCTCCTAGTCCTTGGCCTTGGGGGTTCCACAAACCTTCAATTCCCTGGAAAAAAATCTATAATTACTACTAGTATTACATGAAAGCCATGACTTCAGGTACCTAATCTACAGCCAGACAAAAATTCACAAAGAAGTTGGCTTTTTAACTGAAATCCAGTATGTTTAAATATCTTAAACCCTATGCATCTTTACCAGCTAAGCTTTCTGTGGACAGTAAGAGCTATTCCTTTGTAGACTTAAAAAAAAAAAAAAGGCAAAAAAACCAACATGCCACAGGCAAGGCTGCTCTACAAACATTCAAAGCCCCGGTGCATTCCGCCCAGGGCCAGTGAGGCCATAAGATGGGCAAAGGTAGACATCATTTTACAAAAGAGATAAAGACAAGTGCCATTTTAGGAAGAAAATGGGAATTTCATTCCAAACCATTGTGACTAAGGGGCTAGGTCACCCCTTGCCATTCCCTTGGACACCTCTGCTATTATTGCACCTGAATGGCAAGGACACTAATTTAAGAGAGATCAGGAGGTTCTTGTGAAGGAAAGACGGATGGCACTTGCCAGATACAGCAATCAACCTAATCACTTGGGGATATCAGAGCAAATTTGACCATTCCGATAGACAGGGACAGGAGGCCTCACCTTGGTTGTGTACATTAGCCTCATGCCATTATCTCTTAAAAGCTTAATTATTTGCAAACAATTGATCAAGATGGGAATTTGAGAAAGGATATGCAAGGGCCACTGGGAGAACGGCAAGGCATTAAGAGAGCAAACGAAATTACCGTTAGATCTTACAATAAGAATTAACGATTGAGCCGGGAGAGCTAGGCTGTGCGGTAGCTGCAAGGGTTCTTTCTCGAGTGTTTCCCATTTGATCTGCATTAACACCTCAGGAATGAGTGAAAGCCATAAAACAGTGATTATGTATGGGTAGAGCTGACCCTCCTTCCCGGCATTAAACCTGCACACAAGTATGAGGCTGGCTCCGCGGAGGAGAGAAGAGCTGCTGGACTCAAAGGGAAGAGAAGTGGCTTGTGGGTACTGGAACCCCAGCTAAAGGAAACGACTCACAGGATGGTCATCTCGATTTCAGAAATCAACACCCTGACTTCCCCTTTCCAGTGTCCGTCTCTCGCTGAAACAGTAATTGTCTGCCACTCTTCATGTGTTTCTGGATCTGCATGGCAACGTCTAATACTGATCCAGGACAGCAGTGATGGCTTAGAAACCCCATCAAAGAGTGAAATGATTTCTGGAATGTATGTCCTGTGTAGTAGGAATCAAGAATGTCTGAAAGAAAAAAAATCTACATATGCCTTCCTGTCAAAGT